GGAAGGAAGGAAGGAAGGAAGGAAGGAAGGAAGGAAGGAAGGAAGGAAGGAAGGAAGGAAGGAAGGAAGGGACTTGCAGAAATGAAGTAGAATTCACAATGCACACAAATCAGCCAAGGAACAGGGAGGCAAAGGACTAACACGTCCCTGATGAAGCTCCTTCTCCCCCATCTGTCAGTCAAAATCCCTCCTGCCAAAGGATTAATATCCATTTGTCCCAAAGTGAGGCTTACCTTTGTGTCAAACAAAATATTCCAGAGCAAAGATTCAATGTAATAATTTGTTCCACCAACCACAATTGGGACCTTCTGGGAGGCAAGAATCTCATCAATGTGAATAGTTGAGGAACACATGGAAAAACTTTGAAGCTGAGTCTCATTAAAAAGACATTCAACATATATAAAACCTGATAACTTTAAAATCATACATTTTGGAAGACATCTTTTCTTCTGTATTTTCCTGCACTAAGTTTATTCTTGAAAAGTTGATGCAGTGCCAGCATCAGAAATGTTTGGATTCTTCAGGATGCAATTTCCATGAGTTCTTTGCCTGAGTCACAAAGATGTTTTTTTTACTAGCTCTCCTGACAATCAGAAGCCCTTTCACCCTCCCTGCCCTAACATACATTCTCAAATTTGGATATAATGTGATCTATGACCCCTTGGTTGTGGTTCTCTCCTACAGCACTGAGCCCACCCGTGTCCCAACCGAGTCTCTGGGAAAGGATATGATGGCAGTGGCCTTCTTCTGGAAGTCCAGCACTGTGTAATTGGTGACCAAGGGATCCACAAAGCTGATCATGTGGTGCTTGCACAGCTTCTGCTCCTGGGCAGACACTTTGTTGGTGATGATGTCCAGGCCCTGATATATCTGAGACGGGGAGAGACAGACAGACAAAGCTCTACATTCAGCCAGTGCTCGTCTCCGTGCTGGTGGCCAGCCTGGATCTCAGCTGGCCCACCACTTCAAGCCGCGGGGGCCTCAGAGCAGGCAAAGGGCCAATCTCAAGGCACTGCTGAGACAAGAATGCCTCCCCCACCCTTAGAAAGTACATGCTGGTTCAGGGCTGCTTGAAGGCTGCCTCCCTGCCTGCCTGCCTGCCTCAACATGTCCTGGTGGCCTAGTGCACCAATGAAACAGTTCACTCGGAGCGGCACCCGGCTTCCCAAAGGTGCCCCGAGCCCTTTCTCCCTAAGCAGCCAGGGCATTGCTCCCCGTGGGGCAGGGCGGAGCCGCATTCCTTCTCTTGCTGGGAAAAGGGGCGTCTGCAGGTCACCCCATCCACTAGTTCCAGAGCCACCTCTGGAGACTCGCTGGGTGTTTTGGCACGCCCACCTGGGATCTGCTCTTTTTGTCCAGAGAACCGTTCAGCTTCAGATGGAGCCATGGAACATTTCAAAGAACACCAGGACAGGAACACTAAGCATGTGATCGACTGCTTGCGTGGCTCGGCACTGAGGAGTCACAACTGAACTGCACACATCTGAGGCAGAACAGACAGGTTCCGTTCCATCATCGGCTCAACCCACCCTTCTGGGCAGCCGGTGATGACCAGGGGAGTCAACTTTCCTTTTAGGATTGCTCTATATACTCCTTGGTACATAACACTGCATTATGGAAGGATCTGCACCTTCGAATATGCAAAGTAATTCTCCATCATCACCACCTTCTTATCTCCAGTTCAAATCTGGGATCTGGTGCTGAATGCCAGCAGACAGAGTCAGCAGAGGCTGGTCCGGGTTTTGCATGATCTTGTTCCTAATTGGCAGCTTCTATGTTCAGAAATCCCAGCTGGCAGAACAACCAGACAGCCTCGCCCTGGGTGCAGCTTCAGCAGAAGGATGCTCGCAAGCAAAGGTCCCCGTCTTCAGCTGCAGGCGCCAAGGTTCCTCGGCCTCCACAGCATCTTTCCTGCCCCAAAGGAAGGAGGCAAGAGCTGAAGAGGGCAGGGGCTGGGATAGAAACATGGTTCCTCCAGCTGGCTCACATATAAGGATTAAAACTAGATGAGGAAAAACAAACACCCCCACCCCTGTGATATGCAAAGCCAGAGTGGGGAAAAGAACAAAGCAGAACAAAAGACAAGACAGACACGGGGAGCTTTGCTTGCGAGCATCCTTCTCCCTGGACCTCTGCAAGACTCCTGCAGGGCCTAGGCCGTATCCATTTCTAGGGGAAGGCTGCTTCAGAGGGGACAAAAAAAGGCAGGTTTCCTTACTATATTCAACAGCACAGTATCAGCGGTTGAATCCTTCAAGTTTTTGGGTTCTATAATCTCTCAGGACTTGAAATGGATACTTAACATTAGAACCATCATTAACACAGCACAACAAAGGATGTTCTCCCTGCATCAACTCGGGAAGTCCAGCCTGCTCCAGGAACTGTTGGTCCAGTTCAACGCAGGAATTATACAAAACATTTTGTATACAAAACATTTGCTAGACCAATACTCGAATACAGCTCATCAGTCTGGAACCCACATTACATATCTGATATTAACACAGTTGAGAAAGTCCAGAAATATTTCACAAGAAGAGTTTGCCGCTCCTCTACTCGTTGAAGAATACCTTATGCCACCAGACTCGAAATTCTAGACCTAGAAAATCTTGAACTACGCCGCCTTCAGTCCGATCTAAGTATAGTATATAAAATCCTACATTGCAATGTCCTACCGGTCAATGTCCTACCGGTCACTTCAGCTTCAACCATAACAACACAAGAGCAAACAATAGATACAAACTCAAGGTTAATCGCACCAAACTTGATTGCAGGAAATATGACTTCAGCAACAGTGGTCAATGCCTGAAATACTCTACCTGACTCTGTGGTTTCTTCCCCAAACCCCAAAAACTTTAACCTCAGACTGTCTACTATTGACCTCACCCCTTTCCTAAGAGGCCTGTAGGGGGCGTGCATAAGCGCATCAACGTGCCTACCGTCCCTCTCCTATTGTTTCTTTTATTTTTCTTATATGTATCCATTTCATGTATTCATAACTATGTTTATACTTATACCTGTAATCTTATAATCGCTTGACAAAAATAAATAAATAAAAATTATTGAGTCTGTCATCTGCACTTCGATAACTGTCTGGCTTGGTACAGCAACCAAACAGGACAGGTGCAGACTTCAACGGACAGTTAAGACCCCGGAAAGAACAACTGCAACCAGCCTTACATGTTCACTGAGAGCTTCTGCACTGGAGAGAAATTCCATGCGTGTCTAAGCACACTTGGCCAAATCAAGTATTCCACTCTATTCCAGTGGTCGCCAACCAGTGGGCCAGGGACCACTGGTGGTCCACAGGAAAATTTTGGTGGTCCGCAGAGAAATGTCACCCCCAAAGCAATTAATCCAGGCTGCGCGGGAACACAAGGCTGCACCACCCACATGGCCCGTGGGAACACAAGGCTTGCGTCACTTGCATTACGAACAACATGAGGTAGTGAGGGGAGGGGTGGAAGGGTGGAGGGGGAGAACTTGCCCCACGCATCCCATGCGCCTGGCCTGGCTGCTTCTTTCCACTTCTTTCTCCTTCTGCTTTTGGCTGCATGCAAGGAAAGCAGCAAAAATCTTTCTTTCTCTCCCCCAAACTCCGCCAGAAATGAGTCTTTGGAACCCTGCAAGGCCTCCTGCTCCAAGAGGCTGCGCCGGCAAAGACTCATTTCTGGCGGAATTTGGGGGGAAAGAAAGACTTCTGCTGCTTCCCTTGCATGAAGCCAAAAGTCTCTCCCCCCCCCCCCCCCCGAACGGAGCTGGAGACGGTATCCTGCAATCCCAAATAAAGAATGATCGATCGGTAAGAAAATTGGGGGGGAGGGGGGGATTTTCCTGCAGACTTTGTTTGGGATTTTCCCTGGGTCTCTGGTCCGTGGGATTTAAAATTATGAGTTTGGTGGTCCCCAAAAGGTTGGCGACCCCTCCTCTATTCTATCGCACAAGATGTCACTGCTTGCTTCATGGAAACTGGAGCAACCCAACTTGGCCAGGACTTCGTCAGGTCTAAGTTGCAAGAGGGAAGCAACTCTGTAGGCCTGCAAGGTCCTGCCCTGCCCTTCTACTGCTGGAGGACAGTAATCGCTCAATACAAGTGGAATACAAGGAGAGTTCCCAGGAGGGATTAGAAGGCCATACTTCACTAGCAATTAAAACTCTGACGACAGAGAGGCACCTTGGCTGCTCCACGGAAGGGAGAGAGGGTTGGGGCCAGAGGCAGTCCTGGAGGCTGCAGCGTCTGGGGAACAACCTGAGGGACAACCTGAGGGACTCTCATGGGCCACAAGCCACGTCAAGGGATATCCCAGGTCGTCCATCAAGGCTACCAAAGCCTCAGCTCCATGCATGCCTGTCAGCTCAACCAAACCGGTCAGGGTTTCTCAACCTTGGCAAGTTGAAGACGTGTGGACTTCGGCCCCAAGAATTCTCAAGCTGGTGGGAGTTGAAGGCCACACATCTTCAAACTGGCAAGTCTGGGATCCACTGATCCAGATGCCACTTCTATTGGCAGGAGAAAGAAGCTCAATCTGTCGGCAGAGCCAAAACTGGTGGCCCAAGTGCCATCAGGCTGGGGCAGCAGAGGTGACCCCTCCCCAACAAGGGCGTGGTCCACTCTGGTCAAGCTGGCCGGGGGAGACGGGCCTTCTAGTTCAACAGGTCTGAAGGGCTCCTGGAGGGAAAAACTGCGGCACAAACAGCAGCCCAAGGAGCCTCCCTCCTCTTCTTGCAACGGACCGTGGCCAAGAAGCAACCAGGGCTCGTTTTGACGCGATTCTGGGTTTTCACACAAGCGCAGCGCGGCCACTTGGGCGCCTCCCAGGCTAGGAAAGCAGCTCCCCCCGCGGGTGGATGGAGGCCTCCGGTCCCCCGTCCTCCCCCCGCAGCTCTCCAGAAGGGCCGCTTGTTCGACAGAGGCCGCCCAACGCCCGGCCTCCTTTGGGAGGAGGCCGCTTTCATACCGACGGGAAATGCGGGAGGCTGAAGCGGCCCGTTCCGTGTCTTCCCGCTCAAAGAAGGCGGCGGCGGCGGCGGCGGGTCCCGCAACGGAGAGCCATGGAAGCCGGAGCCACGCGGGAGGGAGCAGAAGGGCCGGCCGGAAGCGCCCCGCGCCGGGGCTGCAGCGCCTCCCCAGAGCTCCGGCGGCCGTGCAGAGGCCAGCCCGGGAGGCTCCGCGGCGGGAGGCCCGGCCGAGGCCCTGGCGCCCCCGGCAGCCGAGCCCGCTCCACGCAGCGCCACCCCAGCCGGGTCCCGGCCGCCCGTCCCTCGCCAGCCGGGGCCCTGCGGGAGCCCAGCCCGGCTTCCCCCGCCGGCTCCGCGCACCTGCATGGAGTCGGCGCTGACGATCTCGCCGCCGAAGCGCAGCCCGAGCTGCAGCGCCAGCCGCGACTTGCCGGTGCCGGTCGCGCCCAGCACCACCACCACCAGCGGCAGCTGCCGCGCCGCCGCCGCCGCGCGCGCCATGGCCGGCCGCTGGAGGACGGAAGCCAGCCGGGAGGGAGGGAGCGGGAGGCGGGGCCGCTGCGGGTGCGCGCGCGGGGCAAGGGGGGGGGGGGTTGGGGGCGCGCGTGCCGAAATGCCCCTCCGCCCCCCCCCTCCACCCCGCCACGGCCGGTCCGCACCAATTCTGCAGCTTTGGGGTGGGGCGGGGCGGTTGGGCCAAGTGTGCCCACCGCGTGTGCCAAGGGGCGCGCCCTCATCGTGGCTCGAATGCAGGCCTCGGTAAGGCCACGCGCGGAACAACCGTGCATCGTTTTGGTCGCCACACTATAAAACAGAGGTTGGGGCTCTGGAAAGCGTGCAGAGAAGAGCAACCAGGAGGATGGGGGTGGGTGGGCTGGAGGCCAAGACAGGAAGAGCGGCTGCAGGGCCTGGGCCTGGCTAGTCTCGGGAAGAAGAGAAGCACCAGGGGAGGCCCGAGAGCCATGTTCCAATATCTGAGAAGGGGCTGGCCCAGAGGGGAGGAGGATGGGGTCCAATCACCTGGAGGCCAGACAAGAAGCAAGAGATGGAAACTGAGCAAGGAGGGAAGCAACTTAGGACTAAGGAGAAACTTCCTGGCAGTGAGGACAATGAACCAGTGGAACAGAAGCTGCTGCCTTCAGAAGTTGTGGGGGCTCCATCCCTGGAGGTTTTTAGGAAGAGACCGGACAGCCATTTGTCTAGAACGGTATAGGGCCGTGATGGTGAACCTATGGCACGCGAGCTGCAAGCAAACTTATGTCACTGTGCATGTGCGCACCTCACAGCTGATTTTTGGCAGGTTTGAGGCCTTTTTCGGGCTCCCA